CAAGTCCAGGAAGTGCAGAGAACCCCAAACAAAAGGAATCCAAAGAGGACCACACCAAGACACATCATAATTAAAATGCCAAGAGCAAAAGACAAAGAGAGAATCTTAAAAGCAGCAAGAGAAAAAAAGTCAGTTACCTATAAGGGAGTACCCATACGACTGTCAGCTGATTTCTCAACAGAAACTTTGCAGGCCAGAAGGGAGTGGCAAGAAATATTCAAAGTGATGAATAGCAAGAACCTACAACCAAGATTACTTTATCCAGCAAAGCTATCATTCAGAATTGAAGGTCAGATAAAGAGCTTCACAGATAAGGAAAAGCTAAAGGAGTTCATCACCACCAAACCAGTATTATATGAAATGCTGAAAGGTATCGTTTAAGAAGAGGAAGAAGAAGAAAAAGGTAAAGATACAAATTATGAACAACAAATACACATCTATCAACAAGTGAATCTAAAAATCAAGTGAATAAATAATCTGATGAACAGAATAAACTGGTGATTATAATAGAATCAGGGGCATAGAAAGGGAGTGGATTGACTATTCTTGGGGGGGAAAGGGGTGTGAGGGATTCGGGAAGAGACTGGACAAAAATCGTGCACCTATGAATGAGGACAGTGGGGGGGGGTGAGGGCGGAGGGTGGGGTGGGAATCGGGTGGAGGGGGGCTATGGGGGGGGGAGAGGAACAAATGTAATAATCTGAACAATAAAGATTTAATTAAAAAAAAACTAAGAACCCCCCCCCCAAAAAAAAAGGACTACAGGAAAAAACTACTAGATTTAATAAATGAATTTGGCAATGTAGCAGGATACAAAATTAACACCCAAAAATTGATGGCTTACCAAAAAAAACCCACACCAAGACACATCATAATTAAAATGACAAACATTAAGGACAAAGAATCTTTTTTTAAAATATATTTTATTGATTTATTACAGAGAGGAAGGGAGAGGGATAGAGAGTTAGAAACATGGATGAGAGAGAAACATCGACCAGCTGCCTCCTGCACACTCCCTATTGGGGATGTGCCCGCAACCAAGGTACATGCCCTTGACCGGAATCGAACCTGGGACCTTTCAGTCTGCAGGCCAACGCTCTATCCTCTGAGCCAAACTGGTTAGGGCAGGACAAAGAATCTTTAAAGGCAGCAAGAGAGAGACAGAAAGTTACCTATAAAGGATTTGCCATAGATTGTCAGCTTTCTCAATAGAAACACTTCAGGCCAGAAGGAATTGGCATGGCATATTCAAAGTAATGAAAAGCAAGGACCTGAATCCAGACTACTCCATCCAGCAAGGTTACCATTTAAAATTGAAGGTAAGCCTTGACTAGTTTGAAATAAAGGTGAAATAAAGACCTTCCCGGGGTGTGGGGGGAGCTAAAGGAGTACATTACCACTAAACCAGCATTACAATAAATGTTAAAGGGACTTCTTTAAGAAGAAGAAGAAATTGAGAGAGGAGGGAACCGGTATAAAGAAAAAATGGCAATAAGTAAGTACCTATCAATAATAACATTAATGTAAATGGACTAAATGCTCCAATCAAACTGTATAGAATATCTGAATGGATATATATATGCTGTCTACAAGAGACCCACCTCAGAACAAAAGATTCACACAGATTCAAAGTGAAGAGATGGAAACTGTGCTGAAGGCTGGGAGGTGGGTGTAGCCCCCCTGACCTGGACCTATTAGAATTGAGGATCTGTGGAGACTGGAGAGGCTGCAGATCTGTAGGTGAGACAGGAGGGCCTGGGACTGAGAGAGGAGGCCCTGAGGGCACTGGCTGTGGACACTGTAGAGTGGGTGCCGCAGTGGAAGCCTGGGGCTGAAGTCCCTCCATAGAGTAGCACTAGCACCCAACCACAGTGCAGTCTGGGAAGTTCCTCCTGACCAGGGGGAAGGGCCATGCAGTGGAGCTCAGGGCCAGCCTACATTGGAGGGGTCTGAAGGACACACCCAACATTGAATCTGGGGGGCCCTCTATTTCTTGGAGGAACTCATGCTGTTGAGCAGAAAGGGGGCTGGACAGTAGGTCCAGGAAGGAGGATCAACCCTGCCCACTTGAAACACAGGGAAGGTACCCTCTTTCCCACCAGCAAAACAGCTGCTTCTGACCTGACCTGCAGCAACCAGAGGCAAAGGGTAACAGCCCAGGGCGGGAAATCTGTGCCCCTGCAGGTGAAACAGAGGAGGTACCAGCAAACCAGGCAGAGCTGAAGCATTAGAAGAAGGGCAGGGCCCTGCCTTCTACAAGCTACTGACACCATCCCAATAGGAGTATGATCAATCCATCCTGGGCCCGACCAGGATACCCCGGCAGAACCCATGGGGTAATGGAGTACAGCTCAGAACAGGGACAATCAAGTGGTGAGACTCAAGGTAGACCCAGCCTCTGGGCTAAGGAGTCCCCACCTGCTGGACTACTTGGGGCTTCAACCACTCAGACCTCAGTCAGCTTGCCCAAGACCAGAAAGGGACAGTGACACAGTGACCTGCACCAGAGAAGCTCCCATGAGGCTCGGGTTAGTCACACCAAAGACCAGATTCAACAACATCAGAGCAAAATCCAGCAAGCCCCACAAAGCGTGCACCCAAATGTTTCTGTGTGTGAGTGTGTGTGGTTGTGTGTGTGTTTGTGTGTGTGTGTGTGTGTGTGTGTGTGTGTGTGTGTGTGTGTGTGTGCAATTCCATGGTACATCATCTGTATATTGCATTGTGTACCCACCACCCAAAGTCAAATCTTCTTTTGTCACCATATATTTAACCCCTTTGACCTTTTACCACCTCCCACCGCTTTCCCTCTGGGGGATTGTGAAAATTAATAGTTGTTCTCTCTTACCTCTTCTCTCCCTCCTTGCAGGGCAAAGACCTGATAGCTATTCTCTCCTCTCCTGGAGAAGTGCCTCACTGGCAGCGCCCAGCTAGCTCCAGCCCCTCCTCTCCTCTCTTGACTCTTTCTCTCTTTTCTCCCCTCCTCTCTTCTAAAATAAATAAATGAGAATAAATTTTTAAAAGTGCATTTGTAATAATAAAGGGTGTTTCCCTATGGATCCATCCTTCTCCTTCTCCAGTGAGCGGGAAGCAGCCAATTCATGAAACCTAAATTGTAAAACTTAGATCATGGAAAATGAGAAACTTGAGAATCATAGCCTGCTGTGAAATTTGCAAGGTTCAGAGGACAAATTTACCCCTCTCTCTTTCTCAATCATTGGTCCTTCAAGTGTGGCAAGTATTCTTTTCTTGGGGGGAGAAATATGTGTGTAGCATTTAGTTCAAGAAACACAAAACCAAGGCTAATGTGTATGAATGTTCAGATTGTGCACTGATTGAGGATGTCACTTCTAAGGGAGCACATACTGACTTATTTGAGAGTAAGAAGGTGATTCTGAGACTCTTAGCTGGGTCTTACAGTAGACCCCAGATCCATCAGAGAGAGCCAAACCTTCAGAAATTCATACCAAATGAGTTCATGCATACACTCAGAAGAAGATACAATCATATACTTGCATGCACACACATGCACACACACTTGTATATGGCTGTGCCATGACCAAAATTCTCCCAGCATTCACTGAAGAGTTTTTCTCCCACACCCAGTTCACTGAGAGTCCTGATTCCTGATCCCCAGTCTCACTCTGATCAGATCCCACCTCATTAGGGATCTGATCAATGCCTTGGCATTTGCAGTGTGCATGAATGGACAAGAGTATGTAGTGAAGCCAGGTCAGCTGCCTGCCAGGGCTCTGGAAAAATCCTTGGACAGAGCTGTTCATATTGTATAATGATATACTAAGTTGTCATTTTTTATTTAAAAGGAAGGGGTACTCTTTAAGAATCTACCCAAAGGACAGTGGGCTATGTATAGCCATCCCTGCACAGATCTGTGTTCGAGTACTTGCTGAGCACTTATTGTGTTCTGTGGGGTCTCAGATAGAGACTTAAACTTTCTGATCCTCAGCTGTGTCACCTGTAAAATGGGTATGAACACAGTCCCCTTCCCATAGGTTTGTGAGCATTAAGGGAGGTGCGTGTGTAACGCTTTTAGCACAGAGCTGACACCAAATACTTGCTCAATAAATAATAGCTGTTACTATTATTATTATCATCATTCACGGTATAGTGTAAGGTTTCGCTTTATCTCACCCCAACTCTGAAGGATCTATTTCTAGCACAGTGGACAGATAGCCCGTCTGTTTCTTACTCTCTAATCCACCTTGCACCTTCTTTTCCTCCACCCCACTTCCATCCCTAGCACCGCCCCTCCAGGTTCCGCCCTCCCATTTGCTCCTCCCACTAGCCCTGCCCTGTGGCAGCTCTAGCTCAGCGTGGCAGGAAGCTCATGGTGTAGTTTCGTGGGATGGTGGCAAAGCCCACATGTTTCGGGGACACGTCGATATCCTTGGGTGACTGCGGGGACTTGAAGCGGAAGTTCTGCATGATGGTGGTGAGTAAGAGAAAGAGCTCCATTCTAGCCAGGCCTTCTCCAAAACAGTACCGCTTTCCTGGCGAGATAGGGTGGGAAGGGCGGAGGTGAGGCCTACTCTCACTGCCACCTCTTCCCTCTCCCCATCTCCAGCTGCATTCTCCCCGGGGAGGAGGGGACGGAATACCGTGGCCTGTAGACTTTCAGAGAAGTCTCTAATCCTGTCTGAGCCTCAGTTTCCCTTGTACATGGCATGGCGGTGAGCCATAGTAGGCTGTAGCAATGGGAATTTTAAACGACCCTTCCCCCTAAACATACACATATGGCTGCTGTGCTATCATCTCCTTAGGAGTCTGAAGAATTCAAGTGAACTTGGGCAAATCTCTGACTCACTCTGGGTCTTGATTTTTCCCATCTCTGAAGTAGGTACTATCACCCCTTTCCTTTTGCCTGAGTTTTGGTAGGTGTTAGTTAAGAGGGTTATAGTTGGTTGGCTGCAGGGTAGATAATAAGAGGGACTTGCAAACTGGAGAAAGCTACTAGGCTACATCTCAGAGAGGGGAGCTGGGATGAAGGAGGCCCCTGTTGGTGTGACGGGTGGCTTGCTAACAGACAGTGGTCTCTTACCAATGGAAAATGGCACAAAAGCATCATTCTTCTTAAACTGCCCTTTCTCATCTAGGAAATGCTGAGGGTTGAAATCTCCAGGTTTGGAGAAGAACTTGGGGTCTCTTAGCACGGAGCCCAGCATAGGAAACACTTCAGTGCCCTGGTGGGGAGGAGGAAGGATTGACAAGGTGAAGGGGGAATGGGTATGCAGAGAGTATATGGGGTCAGAGGGGGAATGTGGGTGCTCTGGGTAAGGAGAAATGGGAGTCAGGGTCCGCTCTGAGGGAGGAGCTTTGAGGGATGTGCCATTTCTGTCCCTGAGACAGGAATTTTGGGGAGTACGGGGTCTGTGTCTCCTGAAGCAGAAGCTTTGAGGTACATGCAGTTCATGTCACTCGAGGCAGGATGTTTGGGGACATGGGGTTCATATTCCCTGAGGTCTTGGGGAGACACAGGATTCAGGTGTCTCTGAGTGGGAAGGTTGAAGGGACATGTGATTGGGGAAGTCTTTGATTGAGGGAGGGGAACAAGGGCTGGGAAGCTTCTAAGGAGGATGGGGTGCTGGGTCACAAGGTGCAGGTTGGAGGTCCCTCTAGGCTGGGCAAGGGCAGTACCTTAGGGAGGAGAAAGTTCCGAAACTTGGTGTCCTTGGTGACTCTGCGGGCCAGGCCCATGGGGATCATGTCTCCGAATCTCTGGATCTCGTGGATCACCGCCTCTGTGTAGGGCATCTTGGCCCGGTCTTCAAACTTGGGCTGACGGTTTTTGCCAACCACCCGGTCAATCTCCTCATGGACCTTGGCTGTGGGATAAGGGGGAATATGTTTAGGTAGCTAGGGGTCTCTGGGCAGGAATGATAGCCCAAATAGGTACAACTGAATGGATATATGATCATTCGAAACAGAGGTGGGTCATAAGCATTGTTGGCACAGGGTCCTGTTAACCTGGTTGTGCCAGAATCATGGGGGAAGCTGCGAGGGAGGAGTCTTGGGGGATGGTCTGGAGCGGCAGGTAGTGGGCACTTGGTGGAGCTATTTAACAATCAGTTCAGATATTTTCAATATGTTAACAGCTGATGAAACTTGGCTGGTCCCTATTAGCTGAATATCATCACCCAGTCTCTGGATAGCAGGGTGTGTCTGAGGGCCCAGAAATTTGAGAGAGGTGGGGACATTGCTGCGGGCTCAGAGGAATTTTGAGGGTCTGTGGCCCTCACTTCCCCGCCCTCTGCAGCCTTACCCTCCACATCAGGGTGCTTCATGAGCATCAGGAAACCATAACGCAGGGTCGTGCTGACCGTCTCGGTGCCCGCAAAGAAAAGGTTCAGCGTGGTCATTACCAGGTTCTTCATGTGGAACTCAGAGTTGGGGTGCTTTTGCTCCTGCAGAGAGAGAGCTTCAGGCCAAGCCCACTCCCCCATGCTCTCAGGGCCCTTCTGGGGTTTTTCCTCTGGACCCACTTCTTATAGATCCGGACCAAAGGTGGGAAGAGGGACCCTAGTTCTGCCTGGCCTTTTCCAGGCTAGTGGCTCTACCCAAATGTTCTTCCCACACTCCTTATCCAGATGACTATCTGTTCTTTAATTACCCACTTAGTTGCTGCTTTTTAATTATAGAAATATTTAGAAATGAAGGAATAGAGACAGTGAGCGAGAGAGACCATGATGGAATGCATCAGAGAGCGTGGAAGAGAGACATTTTCTGAGGCACAGACCAGATTTTAAGCAACAGCATCCTATTCCTTCACTGAAAATCTTGAAGCTTACTATGGAGCATCCACTCCCTGATCCTTTCACCTTGAACTTCAGACTCCATAAAGCCCTTCCAGTTAGGAGTGGGGACCCTCCAATGTCACATAGTAAAGCAAGGTCACCTGTCCACACAGGTGTGTCTGATAACCAAGGAATGAAAGGTAAGAGCATGGTGGCTAAAAGCACCAGCCTTGGAGTCTGAGAGACCAGACGGAGCTAGGTGTGTGACCTCAGGCACGGCACTTATACTCTCTGGGCCTCATGTCCTCATTTGTAACATCGGAGTCATAGTAGAACCTTCTCCAAGAGCTGGTGTGAGTGTTAAATAGGTGAATACCGTAAAGTTCTTAAAATAGTGCCTGGTGCACGGCAGTGCTATAGATGTGCTTATTAGCATGATTTGCACACACAGGTCCTGCCCATGGGTAAAGGCTCAGTGGAGAGAACAGTGAATTATAATTGGGATTCTGAGGGTTATGATGGGGGTCATCTGAATGAGCCGCTGTAGTCCCCCATGCCCCCACCCCCCGCCTGGTTTTCCTCTGCTAGGCTTTGGTCTTCTTTGCCCTGGCTGCTGGCATGTACCTCCTGCATGCGGATGAGGAAGGAGTCAATAAAGTCCCGAGGGGAGTTGGGATCCAGTGTACGTTGGTTCTGCTCCACCTTCTTGGCTATAAAGTCCTCCAGCCCCTGGAGCTCCTTAAAGGCCTGCTGCTGTGGCCCCGGCAGGTGTTTCATCACTGAGGAGAACATCTCATAGAGCTGAGGGGGGAGAAGGAAAGGGAAGGACAGCTGTCGGTGGACGTCACCTGAAGGGAGTGGGGCCTGTCTCGGGGCAAAGGAGTCACCGGTAAAGGCACCTGTGCAGGTGTTTAGGTGTGTACATGGGGCTGGATGGAAACAGATATCTAAGCTTCCATGCAAAATCAGTGTGAGGGCTCCTGTCCCCGGATTTAGAGGAGATGGACTGAGACACATCCAGATATCCTTCCTTCCCTTTCTTTTTTTGTAAGGGGACTATCAGCTGAGATATCCAGGTATTGGAGACTGGGTATTGGGCCCCTGTCCTGAGTTCCTGTGCAACTGTTCAGCTGTCCAAGGGAGAAGGCTGGTTTTGAGGGGACCCTGGTTTGGAGGAGGATAGGAGCTTGGGGTACCTATGTTCCCGTAAGGGAGACGGTGGCTGGTTGTGCTAGGGCCACAGTAGAGCCAGGTTGGGATCAGTCACCTGCCCTGTAGATGTAGCTGTGAACTGGAAGCTTCCCAGCATCATGCGAAGCAGTGAAAGGAACTCTTTGTCCTCGTAGTCAAAGCGGTCCCCAAAGACAATAGAGCTGATGACATTGGAGACAGTTCGGCTCAGGAAGAAGGTGGGATCAATGAAGGCACCTGGGGG